AGCATCATCTGACCTCTTGATCAAGGAGGCCATGATGACCCCACCAGATGGACTTGAACCAGTGTCCAGTCTATAAAGAGGAGGGTCAACACGGAGGAATCATTTCCTCCATGCTTCCAAGAGAAGCCAACAATGGTCGAGCAAGACTTTCCTTTTAGATGTCTTCTTGTTGCTGCCTCAGACTGATTAAGTACATTTCGAAAGTCCAATGTCATAAGGAAAAATACGTGCTATTAAAGATTCGAAATAGGTTGATATTGGCATTCAGATTAGAGAGAATGTGAGATGCAAGGTGCTGCAAAGGCCTTCTGTCTCCATGTAGCAATCCGACCAGTCTGCTGTAATACTTGTCATTCCAACAACTGGTGTTGCTCCCTTGATAGAACCTATCAGTTCTTTCAAAAAGCCATGTCAAATGTAAATATATAAGGGGGGGTATGTAGGTTCTTTCTCTCCATTATCAATTACTTGCTAATTGACAACAGCTCTCCTAGAGAGACAGGAAAGGTATTAGACACTGAACCAAAGTGCTATAGGACCAAAGCAAAAGGCAAGATGGTGATAGAAAACAAAACCTTCTGAAGGTATAAGTGTTAGTCAGGTAGAATGGGATAAGAGCAGCAGAAAAAGAAATGAGAAGAAAAATGTTTAAAGGAAATACAAATATGTATGAGCATTCCCTGAGTGCTAGAGACTGTCATTGATGTTACTGTCTTCATCCTCACAAGCCTGAGTTCAGTATTATTAGTATCTTCACCATTTGGCAGATGAAAAAAAAATACCTAAATTAGCACAGATAACAAGAACAGAGACCATGATGAGAACTCAAATAATCTGGCTCTTATCCTGTACAGTTTCCCAACTTCAATTTAGATATGCAACTCACTCTCAGTACAGTATTGAAAGAACTATTTGCAATTACCTCAGCTAATGGCAAGCAAAATAGGTGAGGTGCTATTATTCTTAGAAGTTTCTTGAGAAGCATTTCCAAGAATTATGATCTGCTGTTAGTGGTTTGCCTTTAAATCTCAGAACTCAGGAGGCAGGGGTGGGCAGATTGAGGCCAGCCTTGTCTACATACCAAGGTCCAAGTGAGCTGGGGCTATAGGAAGACGCTGTCTCAATCAATCAAACAAACAAAAAAACTTTCATTCTGAAGAACAGACAATGAAGAGGTTTCCCTCTGATTGCCCTCAATTGACAGATACCATAAGGCTTTGCACAGGCATCAATAGTTTTCTACCTATGGTCAGGATTGGTTGGGCATATAAATTGACATTTTCCAAACAAATAAGTACTCTCCCTTGTGTCTTTTCTGCTTACTCTCATATAACATGGAAACCTATTCTGAATGGTACGTGTAAATGGAGGTGACTTGTGGTAGGAAATATCCTGAAGAATTTATCATTCTAAGATTTATTCTGCTTGTCATTGGAATGGATTACATGAATATTGAGGCAAAGATCCACCTTCCACCTCCATGTCAATGAGTGAGCCAGACAGTATTTACTATGTATAACAACTAGGTAGAAGAAAAGCAGCATGATGAGTCCACGCTGTCCAGGAAAACAAGAAAAATAGAACATTTATCAGTTCAGCATAGGTATATATAGAGATAGATACCTATATCATATATATATATATATATATCACAGAAAGTCATTTTCTTGATATATATGTGATAGGTATCTATCTATATATGATTATATATATATATGTCTGAAACCTATAGGGCAGGCTGGCAGGTTGAAAATTCTCACAAAGAATTTGATGCAGAAGTCTTGAGGCAAATTTTCTCCTTCCTCAGAGAAACTTTAGTGTTGTCCTTAAGTCCTTCAAATGACTGACTAGAATCCACCCCCATTATCAAAGATATCTCCTTTACTTAAAGTCAGCCAGTTGTGGAAATTAACCATATCAGCCAAATATCTCCCTACAAATATCTAGATATGTATTTGGTTGAACAATCGAGTTATACAGCTTTATTAAGTTGAGACTTAATACAAACCACTATAAGATGCCTAGGGGAAGTTTCAAGAGGAATCAAAATTCAGTATCTCTTCATGGAAATAAGAAAAAACTGGTCTATAATTAATCTGAGCTGTGAGAAATGGAAATATACATATATATGAATTTTAGTAGGAGAACATATCTGACTTGAGGACAAAGTCAGTGTGTTGATTCCCAGCTATATTCTTGATGCTTAAGTCTTTATCTTATATATTCATTAATAGTAGTAGCTGAGAGATAGCTTGTATTGGACTCCCATTACTAGTGATAAAACTGAAGTTCATTTTAAAAATTAACCCAGAGGAGCTGGAGAGATGACTCGGGGGTTAAGAGCACTGGCTTCTCTTGTATAGGACCCAGGTTCGATTCTCAACACCAATATGGTGGCTAAAAACCATCTATAACTCCAGTTCCAGGATATCTGATAACTCTCTTCTGACCTCTCCAGGCACTGCGTGGTACAGGTGCACTTACATACAAGTGAGCAGTACATTCATACACATAAAATAAAAATAGTAAATAAAATAGATTTTAAAAATTAGTGCATGCACAAAGTTAATATGGTAGAGCTAAGACTCAGACTCAGATGTTTGAAATCAAGCTCGTTCTTCCCACAAAAGATGACTGCTCCATCTGCATAATCTTTTACAAAGCAAGGAACAATCCCTACATATGTTCTTATTTAGACACTATTTAGTTTTTGTTTTGGTGTTTGCTGTTATTATTGTTTCTTTCCTTTTTCAGTAAATAAGCACTCAGTTTTAAAGAGTCATGACTCAACATCTGGGCAAAGCAAATGCACTTGCCCAAGGACTTACAGTTCAATCTATATAGAAGGTGTTCTAGAGGATAGAATTCTTGACAAACAGTGTTGGCTTTTCCCCATGACACTTGCCTTAAATTACTCATACATTTTCATGAATATAACCTGTCTGTCCTGTAACATAAGCTGTTTCATTTTTACTTTGGGATTGAAGCCTATGTGATTTACTATTACTAACACAGTTCTTGAAATCCTCTTTTTGGAACTGCCTTAATAGTACAGCTACTTCACTAAAAGACAACAATAAAAATACAGTATTATACATTCTTTGTTACTGTGCACTTATTTTCATCTGGAAGATTTCTGCAACAGGAAATAATTGGCACTACTGGAAAATATAATAAATATTACATAAAATGGGTGGTCAGATGTTCACTATTATGCCAGGTTCCTTATCCAGCTTTTTATTGTTGAACAAGTGTTTTACTAAAAGATCTTTTCCAGTGTGAGGAAATGCTTATGTCACGCTCCTGATGATTTGCCTTGCTTTGGATTTTAAGGAACATAATATTGCCCTTTGTCCACTTTTTAAGATAGAATGATAATAATTTATCACTTTACTACTTTTGTATCATATTTCATTCCTTGAATGTTTTCAAATACATTATCTGAAAGACACAATTATACTTTTAAAAGAAGCAAGGTAGGCCCATAAGTGCTGAATGAACTGAAATCTGAGACTTTTCTGCTTTAATACAATAGTCTTGTCAGGACCACTTCCATAGATGAACAGAGATGACTTACAGGAGCGACAGTCTCGCTTTGTCCAAGATAGAGAAGATTTGGAGGTGTAGATGAGTGGCATTGAGTTATGGGTTCCATTTCGATAGGAACTGGAAAGTGTTGTTAGATGTCGGAGGTTCATGCACGGTTTTGTTCAACCAAATTTCCCTGGACAGTTTTCCTTTCCTGGTATATTTCTTCAAAAGTTATCTCACAGACACTGTCTGATTTCTGACACTGCTTATGACCCCAAACAAAACATTTATCCTTTTGCCTTTTCCTTTTCTTACATTACCTTATAAAATTTTTGATGATGAATAATATATGATATTTAAAATCCTATTAAATATTAAATGCTCATCTTTCTGTTATCTTTAGCACAAGAGTGAGCAGTAATGTCAGATTTGGCTTTTTAAAAATGCATGCAATAGTTTTCCTTAAGACAATAATAAAATTGATATTTGAATTCTGGGTAAATATTAACTATTGGTACAGATTATATAACAAAAGTCAACCAGATATTGTCTGGCTTGAGACTGAGCAGTTCTTATGAATGCTGTCAGAATGACTATAAGTTTTTATAGGCAACTTTGTTGCTGTCTTGAAAGCATGGTTTCCTTGTGGTCATCCACCACCTCTGGAGCTCTCATAATCTTTCCATTCCCTCTTTTGTAATGATCCCTGAGTCTCTGGGGGAGAGGTACAATATGGATGTTCCATTTGGGCTGAGCACTCTGCAGTCCCTTATTCTCTGCATATTGACCAGTTGTGGGTCTCTGCTGCAAGAAAAAGCTTCTCAGGCAAGAGTTGACAGATGCACTCATTTATGGGTATAGCAATAAGTCATTACGAGTCATGTTAATACTATGCCATTTAGTGGAATACTAGCTGAGGAGCTATTGGCACTTAATAGCTGCTAGGAGAACAGTCCATTTTCCTTAAGGGTGTGACACTTAGGTCGATCACAATTCAGTACAGATTCCACACCCAAGAGTATTTAGCCAACACATATTGGATTCAATGTCGAAGAAGAGAATAAGATTTTTGTGTGTAGGGAGGTGGGGGTGGATCTCGGAGGAGTTGTGGGGAGGGGGATCATGATCAAAATACCGTGTATGAAGTTGTCAAAGAATTAATAAAAATACTTTTTTAAAAAATGACTACTGGATGGGAAAAAAAGTCATTCATAAAATGACTATCGAGTGAAAATTCATAAAATAAAAAATAAAAGTGGATGTAATTGAGTCCCAAAGGTAGGAAAGAGCACTAGAATTAACTTATTTTTATTTTTAAATTTAAATTTTATTTGGGCTGCTCATGTAATTGACGATGTCCTTCTTCCTCTTCCTCCTCCTCGGCCACGTTCTCATCTTCATCATCCTCTTTTTTTTCTTCCTTTTTTTTCTTATTTTTAGCTTTGATCTTGTAGCCATTGGTGGTATCTCTGTCATCTTAATCTTTGACCGATCACCTTTCCTGTCAGAAAAGAGGACACTCTGGTTGCCCTGGAATCAGTTTATTGTGGTGGAGAAAGTAATCATGCAGAGAATTATAGCAGAACCACCATCCTGTGAAATTTCCAACTTCATCAGCCCAAACCCAATTGTGCTTCCTTCACCACTCACATCATTTGGAGGATCCTGTCCAGAAAGGGGAACTATTGTTCCTGAGCTGCAGGTGGGTTTATTGCCTTCAAATGTACATAGTCATAGTACCTTAGGGCGATTGACAGTGTATTATGGCTAATTCTTTTCATATAGTTTTTGTTGTCCTTATAATGTATGTGCCCAAGCTTCTTCATTTTTTAAAAGGAAGGCTTTGAATGATGTCTCTCTAGCACACATTTACAAGGAGACTGACCAGGGCATAAGGGCACTATCTGTGGCCATGGCATAGTAAGATAAACTGTCTAAAGAAATGTTCAACTTTTACCTAATGAACACTGTGCTTTAAAGAATACAGCATGGTTGCTTAATAGTGATAATAACAATCAATTGGACTGGTTTTTGTTCTGAGATTAAAGATATTTTAAAATCTACGTTTCTTCCATTGTACATCTTGTATCAATTGTCGCTGCTCACAGAAGTCATGGAAGCTCCTCTTGTTTAGATGTATTTAGTAAAGGTAGCTTGCAAGCCTGGGGGCTTTTTTAAGGCTTTGCTTCTAAGAGTTTAGCTTTATAATTAGGACCTTAATATTTTAGCATTCCTGAGAATTATTCTTTATTGAACATTCAATATTAAGCCATTCAGATGGCCACAGTACAATTCACACACCACACTATAGAAACATTTTAATGATAGTTAGATGTGGATGCCACATAACTGGACTCATAAGTCCTCTGGACCCAAAAATCAAGTAGTATATGCACAACACTGTTAAATAGACACACCAATATTGAATAAATTTTACTTTCATTGCAACAGTCCCAAAGTTCTCAGCATCATCCACTTAGGAACAGCACACACAAAACTAATTTTCTCTGGGCAAAGTAGCCCAAAGAATTGGCTATCGTGGTCAATTCCATTGCTTTTCATTAGGAAGGAAGGAAAGAAAAGAGAGTAATGAATGTATCTGATTAATACACTGATTTCTTCACAGATGTTATTAGAATGTATTGGGACAAGTTTTCCTTACATAAATAAAATGGTGACTCGATAAATATGCCAGCATTTACTACTCTCAGAATCTGAAAAAAATAACTCTGATAAAAACAACTCTAATAACAAAGCACATACTGTGGAGGAAGAAATAATGGGCAACTAGTATCCAAGAGGGGCTGGAAAGACAGCTCAATGATTAAGAGCCCTTGCTGATCTTCCAAAGAAGCCTAATTCAGTTCCCAGCACCCATGGCAGGTGGCTCACAACCACCCGTAACTCCACCTCCAGGAGATCTAGCACCGTCTTCTAGCTTCTGTGGGCACCCACACACATGTGACACACACACACACAAAGACACACACGTGCATACATACAAATAGAAATAACACAAATCTTTTATTAAAAAGAATGTACAAGAGAGATTAGGTCCTTGGAAATAGTAAAAATACCCCATACCCGGAAAAGCACATGATGCAGTGTGTTTCCCATCAGTTCTCCTGACCACTCTGTTCACAATTTTGGGGAAGTGAAAAGAGAAAAAGCTATGAGGTAAAATTTAAAAGGACACAAATATATTTATGCTATCCATGTCACTTTAAATACATTGAGCAGACTGACCTCTTCAGTTATCGTATTTTGAAAAATGAAAACCATAAAATACAAGTTTCTGCTTTAGTTACTTTTTTACATTTAGTTCCATCTGTAGTAATAAACAAGTGGTAGCAATTAATTAAAGGAGCCAAATGGCATTTTCACTCTGAAACTAATGTTTGATATAAAATTTACAGAGGAATTAGTGGGAATTATCTGCTTCTCAGTCATAGGTGCCAAGTTGGAGAAACTTATTCCCAGCCATTTGTACATCCAGTCGCAGAGAAAAATATAAGAAATTTTTGATTAAAAAATTTGACCTCCAGATTATTCCAAAGCTCCACTGTAAACAAACTTGATGACTTCAGTAAAGATTAATTCCAAGAATAGCAAAATCTTTATCATTAAATATCACTTGACCAGTCTCCTTCTGGAATGTTTCTCCTTAGTGAGTCTGGCCTAAATAAGGATTCCAGCAATGGACTTGAAATATATGCAGTAACGCCAAGCAAGATTTTGTGTATGTGGTTATAAGAAAGAAGACCCCTTAACAGAACCCATAGCACTGAATTGCTTGACATTCAGCAATGTACTCTTCTCCAAGTCTTGCTAAATCATTTGTGGAACAGTGTTGGGAGAATACAATTGTTCTGAGTGGCCATTCCTGGCAGAGGAATATAAGAACACTTTGTAGGATTTACTGTATGTCTTGTTCTCATGCAGATTTGATAGAAAACTCAAAATCTCTGGCCCCACAGTCTCACAAAAATCTAAGAACACATGGTTTGACACCAGTAGATCCCATAACCCCATTAGGCATCTTTCGTCTGTTTCTCAAACAACAAAGCATGTGATAGCCTTCTGTACTCTTATACCTGTTAATGCTGGAGAACCATTTTTTTTGTTGTTATTTTTCTATTTTTGTATTTTAGGTTGTACAGGAGGAAATCCCTATTCCTTCCAGCTTTGTGAGGCTGAGTTACCTGAGCAGCCGAACACCTGGGTATAAAACTTTGCTACGGATCCTTCTGACACATTCAACTATTCCAGTGGGAATGATTAAAGTACATCTCGCAGTATCTGTGGAAGGGCGACTCACACAGAAGTGGTTTCCTGCTGCAATTAATCTTGTGTACACATTTGCTTGGAACAAGACTGACATCTATGGACAGAAGGTTTGGGGCTTGGCAGAAGCTTTGGGTATGTTGAAGTGTTTCTATGTAAATAGCAATATTATGCTCACAAAAAATGAATGCATATCAATATGTCATTGGAATAATTATTGATTTTCTTCTATTTAGAGGATCTAAGGCTTTTTTAAATTTTGAACACTTCCTTCGGACCTGTTTAGAATTCCTCTTTGATATAGTTTTGCTTCAGATTTTTTTAGCTCTCCTTTCATAATAACAGCATACCAGAGTATCTAACTTGTAGCTGTCTTCAGAGCTCAATATTGCCTTCCAACTGTGACCTTTGGTATGGCGTTCTTTAGGCCACATTTTTGGATTTGATATTTAAACTGTCATTTCCACTTAGAAACTACAAAATTCTAACTTATAGGCATCTCTACTTACTATCTTTCATGTCTAAGATGGTTAGACTGTGTTAACTTATTACTTCATCAAGTTAAATTTGAAAAATCATTCTGCTTTCCTATTCCTTTGGCTTTTCTGTAATCTTAATACTCTAAAACCTAGACTCTTAGTAGGGACCATAAGAGATCCCATGGGCCTATGGCTCTCACATATCTAATTCTCTCTAACAGATGATACTTTGAAAAAACTGAGACTAAGACGTATTTCCCAAGGTTTTTATTTTGCCAAATAAGAATATTATAAATTTTAAAACCCTTCTAAAATCTAGTATATCCTATCACTATCACAATTTTATAAAGGAAGGACACCTTAACACCAAAGAACTAAAAAGCTCTGTTTTAAGAAATGATAATAAGTGATTAGAGGCTTTGCATGCTTAAAGTCCTAGCTTTTGGGAGAGATAAGTGGATGAGGAGTTCAATATCATCCTTGGCTACATAAGCAAGTTTTTAGGCCAGGCTAGGGTACATGAGGACCTGTCTTTAAAAAGCAAAAGAAGCAATCTTAAAACATGATTGCCTCAAAATAAAAATATAAAAATACGCAAAGAAAAAAGCAACAGCAACAAAACGTAATGGCAAACCGTTTGTGACAGTCAGAGAGACTAGCAGACACCAACGTTTGTATTTCCTTCACTTTGTAGAAAAGCAGCACAAAATTCCCCAAACTAAGGTTGTAAGTCTGTGGACTTGCAGTTAGAAGCCATTGATCTTTGTGCCTTCAGGCCATGTCTCATGGAAATGACCTTGGGACAAATTAGAAGCCTGTTCCCTAGAAGAAGTGTTTTCTTTGGAAGTATTTATTATGATAGAAGTCCCATGTAGCTAAGCAGTATTTCTTTGACTATAGTGAGTCAAATTCTTCTTCTTTTCCAGATGAAAATATAAGGTAAAGGAAAGAGCTGGCTTTAGTTTCGGTTTGGTTTTTTCTGCCTAGTCATGATCATATATTGGACTATTGATATTATTTGCGTTAGACATAATTAGAATGCAAGGAATGTAAACAGGTTTGGATTGCCTCAGTTCCTTCTATAGAAAGAGTCCACTATGAGTCCTACTTATGAAATAGCTCATCCCTTCTGCCTTCCTGCCTTCCCTTTCTCTCAGCTCTTCACTGACTAACATCAGCTGACTTTATCCTGTATTCAGATTCCTCTTCGGGAGAATGTAGCATTGTGTTAGCCAACCAACATGCAGCATAGAGGAACCCTGTAAGTCAGAACTGTGCCTGAAACCAACTACCACCAACGTTGCTGATTGCTCAGTCTCTAGTTAGTGCAGTTCTTATGAGAAAACTCGGGAACCAGATTCCCACCCTAGGTTCAAATCATCCTTTCTAGGGGCTGGAGAGATGGCTCAGAGGTTAAGAGCACTGGCTACTCTTTTAAGGACCCAGGTTCAGTTCCTAGAATCTACACGGTGTCTGACAACCACCCGACACCACCCTCTTCTGGCCTCGGCTGGCATTGCACAACACAGGTGCAAAACACTCAAACGCAGAAAATAAAAATATATATGTTTTAAAATAATCCCTTTTTTTTTTTACTTATTTGGTGTGTAACATTGGATACATTTTTAAATCTCTAAGTGCCACAGTTTCTCCAGCTATATAATGAGTAGTATGAAAGTAATATTACTCACAGACTCATTATGATGGCAATTAAATGAGGTGAGAATGGTAAGGTGTCTGGCACATTGTAAGTGTTTGATAAATGTTGACTGCTAGTATTGTTTCATCATTGCTGCTGTGGCCAAGGTATTGGGATTACACGTTTGTGTTGCAAGGCTCTTTATGTGGGTTCTGAGGATTGAACCAAGGTCCTCATGCTTGCACAGTAAGCACTTCACTAACTGAAAGACTTCCCCAGCCCCAGGGTGCACTATTTTATTCACCTTATTTTATACATGAGTTACATCACTTCTTTTTAAATGTTTTCATTGCTACTGATTCTAAATTCTTACTCCTTGTTCTAGTTAATCATCCTCAATGAAGTAGCCACTAATATATCTATTTAAAATTAAGAAAACATGAGCCACATATATAAGCAAATATTTTATTTTATGGACTCTAGCGGGAAACTACCATTCCTATACTGTTTGCTATGGATATAATTATGAATGTAAAATAACATCATTTAAATGCTGAAATATTTGTTGTTGGTTCGTTTGTAAGGCTAGTATCAATAACAAAAGCAAAAGACAGTTAATCCACTGACGAATGTCCAAAGTGTAAGAAAAACATAGTGTTTCTCTTACACACTTAAAGGACATATGATTTTAAAGTGGAGGAAGAAAGCTAGCAAACTTCCCAAGGAAAAAGCCAAGATAATTACACAAATACCACCTAAGCTGGAATGTGGATTGTTTGCCTTGTAGGAAGTGTCTCTGTTAAACATGATTTAAGGGATCAATGGATAAAGAGATTTTATTTATTGCATATGCTTTATCTCCATCTCTATAGAGAATAAAATAATTTTCTAATAATGGTAATACATCGGAATAGCATGGTAGACTGAAGATGGAGAATATAACACTCTGAAGAAGGATTATAAACACATTAAGAAAAGAAGTTCAAGTGAAAAATGAAAGATTGCGATTAAACGTGTTCATTGTGATGATAATTTAATATCTATAATTGACTCTGAATAAACAAACATTTACTAGTGCATCTGGCAATATTGTTATTTGGTATTATCGCCACCACAAGCTCCTTGATAGTGCAAGAATCATTCAGGTGGGGAGATCAGAGTTATAAGATTTAACTGTGTAGTAATGACACACAGGGAGACACAGTTTACTGGCTTTGAGATGGTGAGTGGGAGCCACCAAACAAGGAATGTGAGTGGCCACTAGAAGCTGGAAAAGGCAAGTGTGGGATTTGCCCTTAGATCTCTGGAAAGAACTCAGCCCTACTGACACCTTGGATTCTGTTCATTGAGACCCATTTGAAATGTATGACAGCATCAACTGTAAGATGACAAATTTGTCTTGTTTGAAGCCGCTCAGTGTGTGGTACATTGTACAGTAGCAATAGGAAATTCATGTAAGCCTTAACCATCAATCATAATGTTTCGGCTACAGCAAGGATTTTGATTAAGACTACGGCCAGTGAGGACTTTGTCTCTTGTTCCTTCTCACACCAATAAACTATCTATCTCTGACCCACCTATTTCAGGGTGATGGAAACAAGAGGAGCCTAAAGTTAAAAAAGCTAAATTTGAAGTGTTGAAGAATAACTTAGTTGAAATGTGTACTTAATTTGAAATGTGGGATTCTTGCTTCCCAAGTAGCTCAGCTGTGCAGAGTTGGTGTTGGTCTCTAAGGTCTAGAGTATCACAAAAGATGAATAAGGTCTTGAAGGAAAGCCAAAATAGAAAAAGGAGAGTTTAAGATGCTAGACTATCCCATCATTTTCCGTAATGAAATAGACTTTGCAACTGGGTAATACAAAAGTGAATAAATTACCAAGAGAAGTCATGTGAAGTCCAAAAGAGGTATCAGTGGCCACTGATAAGATTGATTAATCCAAGTGCAATACTGATCAAGTGGAAGAAGAGTAAAACCACCCTAAGGTTCACTACAAAAGTCACAATCCAGCTTAAAGATTTTGTTGTCTGATTCATAGACAAACTCCCCTACTAAAAACTCCATGTGAGCATTTGAAATAATTTTGCTCTAGTGCTTTAGTCCCTGGCTCTAAATAAAGTATAATGTCTAGAAATCATTGTATTTTATTTAGTTTCTTTCCAACTTCACTGCTTGCAAAACAATGTAAAAAATCATTATTGTTAAGTTCATAGTGCTGTTAAAATTCTAGAGATGGCTTATTTAATTTGACAAACTGGCTTGTTCAGGGCCTCTGATCTGCATCCATTATGTGAATTTTGTCAAAATAATTCCCTATGTCTGCCTGTGTCTGCATATATTATCAATGTGTAGTAATGCATTCTGCCTGGTCTTCATTTTAATTAAATTAAATTGCAGCGGTTTAGAGTTCTGGAAGTTCAGGAAATCAGCCATCCGCCTTTAGTAGCACTGCTATAAACAATTCTATTTTTCTTCAAGGTTATTGGCAACAATGATTGCATAATTATTTAGTACAGTAGTTTGGCAAGAAAGAGTGGTGTTTCAGGGAGAACTAGCCTTCCTAAAGGTTCACAACGCATAAGAGTCTGTCTAAATTGTGTTAGAGAGAAACAGGGGAACATTAATAGTAATAGGTGCTAAGCTATGGCTGCTTTGTGCACACAAAACATTCCTGAGAACGATGCTTTAGTGTTCATAAATTTCCCTTCAGTAAAACCTAAGCAGGCTGGGCAGCCACAAAAACAGCACCCACTGAATATTTGGATAATAAATGGGTAGTGCTTTACAATTTCCAAGGTACTTTCACATACATTATTTCATTTTTATCCATATAGCATTCCTGCCTGGTAGGCATAGCACAATTAACATGATCTTTGATCTACAGAGGGGGAAACTGGGGTTCAGAAAGCACCTAAAGGACTCCCAGTTAAGTATGTCTTTTACTACTGCCTCTCTACACCAGCATGAACAGCCCACCTTGCCAAGTACCTAATTCAATGCCCCAGTGACTTTCTGTCAA